GTGTGCGGGTATGTTCCAACTGCCGAAGGAGGAGGAAGCAACAAAAAGAAGAAGACAGAGAGGTTAACCAGAAAGACATCCGGTAGGCTATCCTACACTGGGGGATTAGGGAAGGGGACAAGAAAGATGAAAAAGAGGGAAGAGAGGGAAAAAAGAAGAGACTGACAGTAATTTCACTGCAGCGTGTCAGAGGCGTTCACACAAGCCCGTCTTTCTCAGGAAACAGAGAAGGGCTTTCACTGCCTTGTGGGCTGTTGAGGGATGTGGACGTTGCTGTAATAGCACCTGCACAGAACGAGGCCGATCATCCAGTCGCCGCATTGCGTTGACAAGTACTTGTCTGTCTGAGGCAAATCGAGGACAGTGGCACAGCAGGTGTTCGATATTATTGTGTGTCAAAGTTTTGTTGACGCTGAGCGCCTGATCATAATAGACGACCGTAACATATTTGAGTAGGATATATGTGGGCTTCTGCGGCAAGTTTCGCTAGTTAACATTGTGAGTGTTGTGCAATTATGCCTCGGAACTGTGGTCACAATAACACCATTTCAGTATGAGAGATTACGCGAAAAGACATTAAGCGCTCGGTATTTGGTTGGAGGGCAGTACGTTGTCAGGGATATGAAGTGGAAAAGTAGTGCAGATACGATGACCGCCTAATTAAGTTAACATCATCAGTCACTCGAAGACACCGTGCGAGTCGAGAAACGCAATTACGCGGACGCAGAGAACGTTTCGTAAATGAATTACTCAAGATATCATTTATAATTTTGGCATTCGCGGTGGTGCTACAACGGTTACTGTGTTCACCTGCTAACCCGAATGACACGGGTTCGATCCCTTCTTGGCGGTCACGTTTCAACGGAGGCAAAACACTACGGAGACGTGTACTGTGTGATATCAGTGCTCGTTGAAGAATGCAATATGGCCGAAATTTTCAGAGTACCTCATGGCTGCGTGCCCAGTAACAGTATAATGTTTATAGCAGGTAAAACCTTATTTATTATTATTATTATTATTATTATTATTTATAAAAATAATATTATTACTTATATTAGTATGATAATTCATAATGTTGAATATTATTCTCAACTAAAGGCATGTAAAGATTAAAAATTCACACGTTAATATGTTACTCCAAGTCTTGCCATTCTGGTTCGACTATTTTTTTAGCGGGATACAGGAGGTGCCCTGGGATCACGATGTAGCTTACATAAGCGTTTCCTCCCAATTATATGTTGTTTTTAGCCCGCAGATCTTCAGACACTATGATTATTGATGTCAGCCTCCTTCCATCAGGCCTCGCTTGTCTCGCGGTTGTGACCTTCTACTGCTGACCCGAAGGTCGAAAGATCGAATCCCGTTTGCGAAGGCTACGTTTCGATAGATACGAAATGCTGAAGGCCAGTGTACTTATGTGTGTGTGTCCACGACAAAGAAACCGGGTGGTCAAAATTTCTGGAGCCCTTCACATCGGCGTTCCCCTATGTTGATCGTATCGGGGTATTATAAAATTCTGTGCTGTTCCCGAATAAATGAGAAGCAGCAGGCTAGAGACCACGCGCGCTTCAGAAGATCGATGTGACCTGATTTCGTTCGTTTGTTTGTTCATTTCTTTCTTCGTTTCTTTACTGATGAATATAGAATATGCCCACTGAGCCTGATAGACCAAGACTTCGTGCTTTTACTCAATTAGATATTACATGCTTCGTTTCTTTATGTTCGACCCTGTCGACCACATTTGTGAAGTCATAACAAAGGGCTCGACGTATATAATAGTTGTACACAAAAACTGACCTTCTATTGACATCAAGTTCACATACCTATAGGTAAGTGACAAAAAATACAAAGAACAATGAACTAGTTATACGATTTAAGTCAACAAGAAAACATTCCTACAAACATTTCACTGTTATTTTTATTTTTGGTACTTTGTTCTTTTACGTTTTTTCTTCTTCTCATTCAGCCTCGCCGTGGTGGTCTAGTGACTAAGGTACTTAGCTGCTGACCTGCAGGTCGCGGGATCGAATCCCGGCTGCGGCGGCTGCATTTTTCGATGGAGGCTAAAGTTCTGCAGGCCCTTGTGCTCAGATTTGGGTGCACGTTAAAGGACCCCAGGTGGTCAAAATTTTCGAAGTCCTCCGCTACAACGTCTCTCATAATCATATGGTGGTTTTTGGACGTTAAACCCCACATATCGAATCAATTTTTCTCAGTCTCGTTAAAATGCGGGGCGATTTTTTCAATGCTTTAGAACAATAGCTCTACTCTTCCGGACAAAAACCAAGAAAATACCTCGTTTCGCGAGTCTCACCTTCACGCTCAGCCGAGGTCATGCCACGTACATTGTTACATGCACATCTCGTGCAGTCGCAACGCCGAACACAGGTTTTCACCGTGGACAACTTTTCTTGGCAACGCAAAGAAGGCTACAGAGCCAGATCGCGCGTATGCTACCGCTAAACAATGTAGTCCTACAATTTGACGATACCATTCCTCACCTTACCTACGCTATCCTGGTGGGGGACTTCACTAAGGCATTCCATAGAATTCGACCCGATGTCATGTTAAGGCAAGTGCATGCACTACAAGTAGGCCCCAGAACTTATGCCCACGTTCGTGCCTTTCTCTCTGGGAGCACTGCCTGTTTGCACAATGATAACCTGAGCATGGCTTCTTATACGCTAGGCAAGGTCGGAACTCTTCAAGGTGCGGTCCACTCCCCCTTCCTATTTAATGCTGCTCTCATTTCCCTAGCCCACAAACTAAATCTCATCCCACACTTAAACGATACTTTGTACGCGGATCATATAACGACATTGACTACGTATGGCTCTGACGGCCAAATTGAAGAAACTCTTGAATTAGTAGCCGACACCATCTCAGCTCATGCACGTGTCATCTATCGGGCTCGGATGCTCCCAATATAAATCCACGCTACTTTTTATGAGACCAACATCAGCCACTTACTCACCCACCGATATCACATAACGAGAAACCGCTATCCCCTTCACATTTACACTGCGAATCCTTGGTATTTACCTGCATGATTTTGGACAGAATGACCACACCCTAAAAACACTCAAGGCTCCCATGCATGTTGTATTGCAGCTTTTACGCCGCGCATATTTTGTGCACAGAATTTGGATGAAGCGGGCAACATGAAAGTTGTACATGCCTTCATATATAGCCGCACTCTATACGCCACCCTATATCTTAAAGAGGCCCTGCAAAACTTTTTGAGCATGGTCGAAAAACGCTGCAGATCGGTAGTAGAGGCTCCCGACAACACGCGAGCCAAATATTATAACACAGCACGCAGCCGGGAATTCACAATAAATAATCCAAATCAGCTAAAATTGCTTCCTATTCTCTCGTCAAACCAGGTTATATGCCCCAAAATCACACATCAAATGACCCATCTTTCACCCATCGGCCGATCTGAACATGGCGTGCTCGCACGTTACAGAGATCGCCGCGGGAGGCAGCTACTTGTCCACGGGTGCGCGCGCGATCACACTGATAAAGCCGCGCGTTCAAAGTAAAAAAAAGAGAAAAAAAGTGCTCAAGGTCGCGAAACGCGCGTGACGTTTTTCTGTGGCCCTGCCATCCCATAATACTTAGCTTCCAGCGCTTTCGTCGGCATGAAAGAAGAGAGAAGGCAATTTCAGCATGTGACGAACCTTTGTAACTGCACTCGCACTGAACAGATTCTTAAAATTTTTGTGGCGTTGAGGCAATAAGCTCTTCCAGTGAAATCATTTCATTGTTACTTGAAAAAGTGTTTCAAAGCCCCTTTAAGCCAAACTGCACAGAAACTGAACGCGTGAATGACGTGACCACCTCTAAACTAAGGCAGCCCTGAACCTTCCTCGTAGCACAACAAGCACAGCCAAGATTTCCGAACTGGAGGTGCACAACACCCTTTCTGGGCTAGTTGAGGCACATCTTCAGGCACAGTAATTAAGACTTTCCGCAAGCGCCAATGGACGTCATATTCTCGCCTCCCTTCGCATAAGCCTACCCGCCACTCGACCGACTTGTCTGGACATTGCTCGACTCATTTATGCCTCTACTATAGGCAAACCCTTGTCTCGCAATGTTCACCCTCAACATCCCATAGCTCGCCGCGTAGCTAGCGCGGAACCCCTCCAAAATTGTTAGGGAAATGCTCAGGATGCCATTTGGGTAGATGCCGCTTTTACAACACAAGAAGCTGTAGCAGTTGCCTACAACCCTACTCGACCCCATCTCCGCCTCCACTCAGGCTGCACAGCTGAGGAGGCAGAGGAGAGGGCCATTGTCTTAGCTCTTGCGCGATCCGATGCACAGTAGGTCTTGACTGATTCAAAAATTACTCTGTACAACTATGCTAGAGGCGGGATGCACCCATCTGCCTGGCAGTCACGAACCCCCCCCCCCCCCCCCCCCAGCAAAATTTACTGCGAATGGTAAAGCTCCAGTGGATAAAGGCTCATTCAGGGAACCCCGAAAACGAGGATGCTGATAAATTGAACCTAGTGTTGATTTGCTGGGCTCAGGACAACATCTATTCGGGCTTCTCGAAGAAGCGGCCACACACTTTCGCAGAGCTCACGCAGATACCCCGTTTGAACCACTGGACTCAGCCTCCTCCAAATCCTTCTCTTACGCACTCGAAACAAATTCTATGGAGACATCTCTAGACTCGCACTCTTTCTTCTCCTCAGTAGTGGGGCTTCGGGTGAAGCCCCACTACTGTGGCACTTCACCCGAATGTTCCCTCACGACGAATCTCACGCCACCCTTTACCACATCTTATTAAGCTGCCCTGCTAATCCTCCCCCGCAGGGATTGCCTGGCATCTCCAGCTGGTATGACTGGGAGGTCTTGCGCTCGTCTGGGGACCCAGCGTTGCAGCTTTCTGCGGAGACTCGGGTAGCCTGTGTCATCGCGGTGAGAGGCATGGTCTTGTAGAGAGAGAGAAAAAACATTTTATCAGGTATATATAACCAAAACATATGTGTGGCTATGATGATCTCGGCGACCAACCGGGCCTGTTGAACCAAGGCCTGGTGGACCTCAGGAGGCCTGTCGCAGGGGGCATCGTCCGACAGCTCTTTGGTGCGGAAGGAGTGCAGAATAGAAGGAAGGAGAGGAAATAAATTTATGGCGCACTCCACCATGACATAAAATACTGTTGGGGAGCTGCTACAGCCTGTTAATGAGCATGCGTAACGCTCAGAGTAGAATATATGCAGGGAGAGGAGGCTGTGAAACGTATGCGCTTGGAGTTGTGTGGAGCCACGCGATGGTCCAGGGGCTCCGGGGAGTCCAAACACACTTGCCAATAAAGTTTTAAGTTCCAATGCACTTTATAAGCGACCCTGAATCCGCCGTCCGCGGTGCGCCTCCTCCTCTCCCCTAGCAACGGCGCGAGGAGCGGAGAGGAGCGTCTGCAGCAACGGCGCAGCGACATCACACATGGCTGCGCGCGCCCGCGCAGCCACGACTTGCCCGAGATCGGCAAGTCATCATAGGTATGGATCCATCGCAGGCATCAACCTCGACTGCGATACCTCCAACAACGAGTACAACGCAGTCGAATGCGAGCATTGCACGCGTCGTTGAAGTTGTCGCGCCGGTTGAAGACAAGGCAGCGCGGCGAAGGGCCCGTGATGCCGAGCGCCAGCGGGCGAAGCGGGCCGTGGACATAAACATCATTATAGTGCGAATTTACTCTCACATATACGCGTAAACTCGCCAAGATTTCCCGAAAGGGTCTAATGGTTCCTGGGAATCGCAATGTGATCACACGGGGGAGTTTACGTTAACTCACTGGCGAATGCCAACGGATTTTAACTTTACTCTCCCTAATAGCATCACCCCGTGCATCCGCACTTAACCATGTTCACCCTCGGGGAAATGCTTGGGAGTTTTTTTCTGTCTATCTGTCCTACAATATTCCCTTTTTAAAATTCAGCGCCGCATATCGAACAAAACCAAAAACGCATTTTTTTTTCACCATGTGGCCTTCCAAATTCTGACCAAAGCTCATAAGGACTTCCCAATTGAATACACCCAAACCATTATCTGGGCGCCAGGGCACGAGGGCGTCACCGGGAACCAGTTTGCGGATGAGGCGGCTCGAGGCTTCACAAATTACCGAGCTTCCTTGTACACTGCAATAGAGGATCCAACGCCCCTAGACCCTAACTATGGTACAATTCTTCAGTATTACAGGGACAATAGAAAAGTGTATCCAGCACCGCATAAGAAACTCACAGCAATGGAATCGGTGGCATTACGCAGAATCCAAACAAACACATACACGAACTTACACAGGCTGCATGTATTCTACCCCACAGCATACAAAGATATATGTCCGTCGTGTGGGGCCACACCAACTCTGTTTCACATCATGCGGGAGTGCACGCATCACAATGAAGAACACCACAACATGAACAACACAGAAGAACAATGGGAGGCGCTGCTGTCCAGCTCGGCCATTGTTGGTCAGCGCTGGCTGGCCCAACGGCTTGAGATGATGGCTAGGGCCAGTGGAGCCCTGTAATAGGGGCCCGACCATTTGGAATGCTCCGCGTTATGCGCAAATAAAGTTCTCTCTCTCTCTCTCTTTCGCCATGTCTTATTCTCCCAAGAGACGCTCATTGGCGTACCGTCCTAACGCGGTACACGTCCTGCAGGAACGCAAGCAGTGTCTGCGTGCGCTGCATGGAACGCTCATCGGCGTCGCTGGGAAACACGGCCCGCCAGCTTGCACGAGTGAGCAAGATATGGCTGAAAAGACATGTTCCAGACCACGCGGAGGTCGTGGTACAGACTGAATTTTCCAAAGGGTCTATTGTGTCTTCGTTTGGAACGTGATATGTGAAAAATACTGGCTTTACTGTTTCCATGTAGCTCTTTGACACAGGACGATGTTCACAGCAGTAAGATATTCGTATTTGTTTTAATTTATTCGTTGTCACTTGACGTTTTTTTAACTGCACTACAGATCCGCCCCTTTTACGTGTACTTCGAACGGCAAGCGGTGCCTGCGTTCATATGAAACGCTGATTGCGCACAGAAATCACTTCCCACAGCGGTACGGAACGCATGGCATACTGGCCGTGTATAAACGTGGGGAAACTCCGCCTCTACAGCCTTGACAAGAAAAGGTTCACGAATAGATGGCACTCTTTCTTGCTGAAATCACCATGACGTGCTGGCTGCGTCTTGCATAGTTCACCGCGCATTCCTGCCTAGAAGCGTCTATACTCTTAAAACAAATTTATTTTAAGTGCGTTTGACCACTTAAAGTGCGTTGAAGCGCACTTAAAAGAAAAGAAATTGTTTATGTGCGTTTAAGTACACAGTTGTTTCGAAAACAAGCAAGCCATAACGGCTGCTTTATTACGATGCACCCATTGGTGGGTAATTTATATGTTAATATATGTTGAAGCACTCCTATCGACAGAAAAAAAGAAAGGAATCAGTATATAGTATGGCACGTGGCGTGATATCGGTTACTCTTCTTGAAATTTATGGCATTATCTGCACATTGCGAAACCATAGAATGCCATTTCCGAAAGACACTAAATCCTTACTAAGGGTTAGCACTCCAGCGGAGGCTCTGTTGCAATTTTTGAGCGTATTCAACGATATAAGAACGTAAGCGCACCTACGCACCGAATTCAGCCGGTCTTTTGTTGCGTAGTATTGTTCTATACGATGCCTAGATACACTTAATTGTCTTTCGTGTTTTATTGGTACTATTGCGCAAAGGCTTCTGGACACATTTGATTACCTTTAGCGCGTGTTACTGTTTAGTATTTTTGTTGAAACGCTGTCTCAGGTTGAAGGGCATCGTAGTACAAAGTGCAAAATCATTACATACACGTGCAGCAATAAAGAAAGAGAGAAACAGCGGGGCAGTTCTTCGTTGAGGTAATTTTCAATCGCTTGATAGATGCTGCTATGTGACACCAGCCAGGCCGAGCGTCGAACCTAGGGCACAATATATCTGTTTAGGATATAAACGCGAGACGAATCTTAGTAATGAAAGCGGATGCTAAAGGAACGTTGGTTACTTATATTCTTGAACAGCGTGCTCTGACAGGTGTGATTGGCTTTAATTACAGAGTTTTTAATTAAACTCATTCAATGAGGGGTACCACCACCTAGAAAACTTCTTGAAACCCGATCCCCTGAATTGTCGGGTGAAAAGAGAATCTTCGTCGGTCTATTCCCGAAATGGCTTACCGTCCTCGTGAACAGGTTTAGGCAATCTTCGGCTTACCAGATAACTGTGTTGTTCGGCCAATCACAGTGTCTTAGGGCAAAAGACTCACTAATCCCACGATGAATGGCACTCGGAATATATCAAGGGCGGCGGGGAGGTGCACTTTTGCATTGTTTCGTAACCCCACCAGGAGAGTTCATCTCTCGTTGTTGCCAAGAGAGTGCGGACGAACAGTGCTTTTATTAGGGGCGAAGCCCCTTACACTGTGGGTTGTATGTATCTTGTCGTCGTAGTCGTAGTAATGGCCAGTTGAATTATGATGCATTTCAATAAAAACGGTGTCACAGCATATCCACGGAGTGACTAATGATGAGTGGGATGAACCGTCCGTCAGTCCATCTGCCCGTTCATCCATGCGTCCGTCCGTGCGTGCGTCCATCTGTCCATCTGTGCATCCGCTTCTCCCGTTTCGTCATTATTCACCTTGTGGATACGATGTGATTAAAAAAAACAGCTTTGTAATGTGCTTACTGTAAATAAAGTACTGTTACTCTATATAGAGAGGTGCTTTTTTTACTGCAAACTCCAGGTGTAGCACTGAGTAGTTTCGTTGTTGGTGCATCCACGACCTTCAAGCCAAGAGTACAGGCTGTTCGCGATAATAGTTGGATGTTACAGACATTGAGCGAAGTTTTCGTGTGCTTAGAAAAAATGTTAGAGAAAATGTTCAACGATTAAGATTACTTCGTACTATACATTCGGAGATCATTAAGCCGCCCCGTGTTTACGATCGTTAATTCTTCTTGAATCCCGGCGGGTGATGTGTTTAGAGAAATTTATTCTCACGAACAGTGGACATCAGTAACATTCCTACAGAACGACGGGACGGAACACAACATGCACAGACACACCAAAATTTGTTAGAAAAAGATATGTTTACATATATACATTAAATGGCAATCGAAAAACACAAATATACAAATAAAACATTGATTGTGTGTAGTTAGAAAAAAAAAGCAGATCCCACGTACTGTGGTAATCGATGATATGCGAAGCGCGAAAGAGAAATGTAGATATGCCACTTTAAAATCAGCACAACGTTATGAGGTTGAGGTAAATGCTGCCGTACATGACTTCCGTGTCATGGTTATCGTGTTTGGATGTGCCGATTACTTTCGTCATCTATTCATGGCACTTAATACCAAATTTAGTACATGTGGAGCTAGCGAAACGACCGTGAGCTCGCTATGAGTGTGGTATGTTGTCTTGTTCTTACATGACACGCGTGTCAGGATTATCATGTTTGCTCCAGTCATATATTTAGTCATCGAATGACGTCACTTAACACCAAATTTGGTATATGTTGAGCTCGCAAAACTGGCCGGAGAGCACATCATGAAGGGCCAAGTATACTCCAATGTAGCGTTGACGCAAGCATGCATGCTGGGCACAGCGATGCTACGTTAGCAGAACGTGAGCAGTCTATAGTCCGACGCCAGGCGCGACCAGCGTCCGTCGGCGCGGCCCGACGGCAACCGGCGCGAAATGCGACATGCTGCATTTCGCGCCGATGCGTTACGCAGACAACACTGCGTCTCCCTCTTTTCGTGACGGAAGGACGCAGGGAGCGCTGAAACGCGCATGCGTCAAAGCGACACGGCGCGGCGGGCGCCTGCGACTATATGGCAAGACCGGCACCGGGCGTGGAAACGCTGGCATGACGCGACGAAATGAACGCCGGCGAGCAGGCGCACCACGTCACGTCGAAATGTATTGGCGCCTTGACTGTGGCATGTGGTCATCTTCTCACATGACACGCATCTTATGATTATCATGTTCGCACCGGTCAAATAGCTTCGTCATCCATTGTCGTCACGTC